TCCCCTGTACGGTGTGCAGCTGCTGTCGACGCACTTTACTCGCGAAAGGGATCATAAATTCCATTTCACGGCAATCTATCTGATCGTCGGATGTCAACTGCCATAAGGCGCCGATTGAAATATAAAAAAAATTAGATGTATTTATGTAATGGGTAATCATTATTACAAACGATGAAACAAATCGTTTAGAAAAATATCTGGAAACGGGATGCAATTTCTGTCTAAAGATAAGAGTTTTTTTTTGTTGCTGCTTTTGTTCAAAGACGGAAGTACATGTACTTACATACTTACACATAATGTGCTGTGTGCATCATTCTTCCAAGAAGGACGATAAAGAACGATTAGGCGCGAGAGATCTATGTATAAATGGGAGATACGGTAAACCCGCGGTTAATGGGGGAAAAAAAGCACTAGTCATGCGGTGATTATCAGCCTTCCACTTTTGCGAAATTACGCGCGAAACGCATCATAAGATAAAATTTTATAAATTTTCTAGCAATGTATCGTTCGATAGAAAAAATTGAAATTCCAATTTAAAAAATTACCACATCGCATCGTTGGAAAGAGGCAAACTAGATTTACTTAAATGTAATTAAACATTTTGCTAGTTTTCACATTTCTAGTTCAGGCTAATCACGTGGATATCGTCGCCTAATGGAAACACGAAAGTTATTCAACGTTCGAAAGTGTCTCATGAGCGAGACAATCGAAAAGTGGAAGATATGTATGTAGGTACTCTGGCACGATGTTGTAAAGGAAAGGCAGGGGAACAGATAAGAAGAATAGAAACACCCCGTACAAACAACAAATGAGAATTGCATCCGCAGAAGATACTCCTACCTATTTAGCGAGATAAACGCTGAATCATTCGTTTCAAATTTCTCGAACATAACCGAACGATAGCTGTAGATGTATACATTCTATGAAAACGTTCGGTATTAAATATAAAATGGTTTTAAATAAAAAGAAAAACCATTAATGGCCGAGATCACGCCAAGAATATAAAAAACTTATTAAAGTTTGAAAAAGAGAGTGAATGTACATAAAATTGTATAGAATATGTGTAACTCGATTAAACGTTTTAAAATAACACGATATTATACGGATAGAAGGGTTTATTAAAGATGTGCGCGACAATAGCGCAACGTAATTAGAGAACGTTTAATTGGATAATATACATCTGTTAAAATATTCTCATTGTTCGGTGGAAAGCACGGAATAAATTCCCAAGGAAGCTCGATCTATGAAATTAATTTAATAGGCAGGAGTAATTCCGTCCTGCATAGAAATGATGAGAACTGCGTATATTATGCACGTACACCGTCCTATGAAAGAAAAAAGGAAGTAAACGAGGAAAGAAAAGGATATGGAGGAACAGAGAAAGGAGAGGAAGAGACCCATCCGTTGAGCTTATCCTCCTGGTTCTTCGGAACACTCGAGTCGAGCCAATCAGTGAAAGGCGCAACGTGTCATTGACATATGTACATATGTATGTACGCATGTATAATAAACGTGGACGAAACATGTCTCTTGTATAGTTACGAGCAATTATTAGTGCGTCCAAGTTTCGGTTAGAAGCCAAGCCTAAATAATTAAGGTAGTAGTAATTACTCTCTAGTAGTTCATAATCACATTCAACAAGTATTGTTGTAACGTAAGCTATTTAACTACGTTAATGTGACATTGATCGAGAAAGATAAGAACGAGAAAGACTTGCAAAACGTTCCTGGGTTTAATTAAACAATAAATATATGTACTATCAAACGTTCTGAAACAACTTTGGTGTCTCTGTAAAAGAAGCAAGTAAGTCGAAAAGTGATTGAAACCGATACACAGTGGCTGAATTAAAAACTACTTAAAGTGGTAACACGTTAGGCGGTTGAACCTGTTGGATTTGATGAAACAGGTATTAAAGATGAAGCGTGACTGAAAGTTCGATTTCTAACATGAGATGCGAGGCAAAGTAACGCCCAAGCAACCTGGTGCGGATAATCTGGATGACGAAACAACGACCGGTTTTCTCCAACAGAGGATACAGTTTGAGAGTGCATCCTCTGAAATTATCCGTCTCTCTCTCTCTCTCTCTCTCTCTCTCTCTCTCTCTCTCTCCTTCTTTCCTGGCGACGCGACGAGAAAAGCCACGCAAAATCGCATCTTGCTACCGATTGATCGAACCGGAGACAAAAGATACTTCCTACGGCCAGTAAATCGATACTGATCGATGTGCACCATTGCTTCGCCGATATTTTCGGAATCTCGCTTGCCAAATGTCGCGAAATCAGTCCGCCGGCATCATGCGAAAGATTGCATTACGTAACAAAAAGACACACACACACACACACACACACACAAACGCGCGCGCAAGGTGCCCTGCGGAAGCTTGAAAATCAATCTCTTTCGATAGAGACTGTTTTTATCGGGGTTTTGTAAAAAAAAAAATGGATTGTTGGCGACGATCTTCGAACGTACTGAAATGCAACGAAGTTCGGGTCGATTGATAACCGAGCTCTCCGATCCAATAAAATATCTATGTTCGAGCCAAGAAGAATCAACGAAACTGATGAAAAAATAAAGCTTTATTTTTTTTTCGAAGAAACATTCTGGTCTCGAATTCTAATAAAATTATTCACCTATTTCCATAACTAAATACAACTTTGATACAATAACCTTTCCTAGAAGCAGAACGTAAATAACTGTTTGCCATCAGATGGTTAGATTACATATTTTTGATTTGCAAAAAATATACGCTAATAGGATTAGCGTATCCATCAAACAAGAGGAAAATAAATATAATCGCTGCTTTGCAACGTATAGAAATTGTTTTCCATCTTGTATCGTGACTTGAGCTTCGTTTAACATCTGTCGTCACGACTAAATATTTTAACAAGCTCAAATCTCGCAAAGTACTCTGCACGCTTGTTATGCGTGTTAAATGAACGCGACAATTCTATGCCAACCTTCACTTAACTGCGCGTTTAAACAAAACGATTCTCAAGTTCTTTACGCTGTAAAAGTGTTTTACGCAAACTATCTTTAAAACGAACGAAACTTCTAAGCTGGAATCGGTAGCTTGACGTTATGAAGAAAAATTCATTTACGTGCTTCGACGATTCTCACAATCGCGGTTACAAACTAGTAAGGCAAACAACTTACGGTACACTTGTCAGTATTTAATTCGGAACATAACCTCCATTAACGTTAACAACATCTTTCCATTTTGATGGCAACAAATTTTCCGCGTATCTGAAATAATTTTAACGCGTATCGTTAATTTTGTACGAAACGATAAAAAATTCTAAATTGATTAAAAACGAAATGCTTTTGTAGGAAATATGCAAGTTCTGTAAGCAGTAAGTAAGTACCTAAGTAGGTACATATGTACATACTGTGGTCCGGTGACTTAAAGTCCCGCAAGAGAAGTCGGCTCGGACCGCCCATCTGTCTATCTTGCTCCCTTGCTCTCAGCCAGTCCTGATGCGTGTGTGGAACTGCCGCGACGAATAGCGAACCAGAGTTGAATGTGTACGTGGGAATAGCTGTATCCCTTCTACTTTTCTCGCATTCCTGTCCACGGGACTTGAAGTCAGCGGAGGACAGTAGGATCTATCGATTGATCTGTACCGTCGTTTCCTAAATGTTCATTTTTTGCGTCACGAGATCCAACGATATGTATGTACCTATGTAGGTACATCGAAAGCGTTCGAAAGATTAAGAAACTCTATGTGACAGGACGTCCGGAAGCTGTAGTTGGGCCGATGGTGGTCATTTGAACGCTTCCGGCGAAGCTCGGCAACTGCACGTTACCGCAGGATTCGCATGACCATAACTTGGGAACAAACTCAAGTACCTACATACTACTTACAGCACGTTGTATTAATACGAATTTTTATCTTCTCGTTTCGGATGTATTCTATATTTAAAACTATTGGACGAACAAAATGAAACTACAATTAATAGAGAATATGTATATGTATATAATATAGAATGCGTTTCTTTCGCTTTGTTCGATTCTTTCCCACGTTTCTATTGAATTTTCAACGCTCGATGATATTGTTTCTCGTTTGAGTAACTTTCCAAGTTTCGGGAAAGGCGAAAACGCGACGGATCGAATGGTGAATAGACACGAACGGTTCAAGATTTCTGAATTGAATTTTCCTGCGTTTCTTTCGCATTATATTCCGACGGAACAAACATTTTTGCCGCGTAACGAAAGCTGACCGTATTTGCTGCTCTTTGTCATCTTTTTCAGGCGACGGCGGACCGTGGAATGTGTTGAATCAACTTTTTCAGACAATTCTTCGAACAATTGGATTTTATTCCACGATAGTAAAATGTTCACTTTCTTTGTCCTCGGATTCGAGACTCAACCTGACGGCTACGACCCTCCCCTCAGACTCGAAATATTATCAAGTTTCTTCAAATTCATTTACTATTTTTATAATAGAAAATATTGGATCGGTAGGAAAACTGAAAAGGAAAGAAAATTCTATACCTGTCAGAGAAAGCAAAATTGCATTTCATCGGATTTCTAAACCTTTCACTTCTCATTTGATTGAATCTGGCTTTAGTAGAATTCTTTATCTACTATTACAAACTCGTGATTGCCTCGATATTGGAAAGAGATGGCTTCTATTCACACCGAGCAACGCCACAACCAACAGTGGCAATATTTTCGAATAATATTTTTAACGTTATTCTATTATTATGTTTTTCTATTTTATTATACATTTTGCATTAGTGTACCTTGTTGTACAATATTCCATATCATTCTACTAGAATCATCAATGTGAAAACTTTTACCCTTTGTGGTAAAGACGTTTAAACGGTTGGACGTTCGTTATTTTTCATTTCTAACGTTATGCCAAAACCAAAAGCGTGAACGTTATCGCGAAACCTGACGACTACAGAGATAAATAAAAGAAGAAGGCCACGAGTGAAGCAAAATTAAGAAACATTAGCAGACAATGCTGAAATCTTAGATTCCTTTTGCTGAAATATACATACATATGTATGTATACATACTGTCTTATCCTATCTATCTACTAGACTTGTTTATCAATGAGTTGGTAATGTTTTTTCAACGTTTTCAGTCTATCGTCTGTTCTCGTCGGAACATTTTTTAAATATTTATATGTATAAAATTTGATTTAAATACTTTAAGATAGAAATGAATACCGAACGATTATTACTTTACACCGTTGATTTAAATCCAGTTATCGAATCGAAGGCGAGTATTAAATTGATATTTCAAGTAAGTACAGGAACGCTGAATGAATGCTAGCAATTAATCTCATACTTGAGTTATATGGCGGGAAGAAATGACGGTCGATGTTGGACATAACTTTCGAACCAATTAGAGCAGATAGTACGTAAACAGTCGCTATTAACCCAAATATCAAAGTAAAGAAATTGTAGAAACAACGGGCAGCGAATGTTACACATTACCCTATATGTATTTCTGGTCCTACTAAAGTGTATACATACATACTATACCAACTCTGATAACACCAATAATTACTACTATTTTCTTGCTATTTTCTAATTCTATGCTTGCCAAAAAGAACGACTGGAAGGAACGTTCTTAAATTTTTAGCTTGAAATATACATACATAAAATTCACGATAAAAAGAAGATAAAATGTATGTAATGCTATAATATAACTTGGAGATTTGAAAAATGATACTCGTTGTAATTGGAGGAGAAGAGAGGATCGATAGAGTTTAGAGACTAGAAAACTCGTGTACCATCCTACAGATATACACACAGTCCAACGTTTCATCTATCGAGAATGATAGAATGTGTATAAATAAAGCTGCAATCGATTTTAGTATTTCTAAAGGTACGTTAATTCAGAGAAAACTGTCTGGAAATTTCGAGGAAGAATGTCCTTGGCTCTGTATGTCCTTTCGGGGATAAGAAACGGAAAAGAAATAATTGCAGAAGCGAGAAAGAAGAAGCAAGAAGAGTAGAATGAAAATAAAAATAGGAAAACGAACAAGAAGAAGATAGATAGCTCTCGACCGACAACGATAAAACTTGTTGAGATGACGATGAGTGTGCCGAGTGTGCCGAGTGTGCCGAGTGTGCCGAGTGTGCCGAGTGTGGGGAAAACTATAAACGATGGTTGCATGAAAACTATACGAATTCTACTTAATTATTTTTCAGCATTTCTTTAATACCGTTAGCAAACTTCTTGACATTGTTTAAAACAGTGTCCTTATAGAAATTTCGACCGCTGTACCAACCAGATCATGGCTGGTTTATTATCAACAATGGCGACGATTAAGATATCATTTGCGATAAAAATTCGCAGCAACAGATTCGTATCAATCACATGTTTCCTAATGTAAAAATCATATCTATACGTATAATACGTACTCGTAATTACTACATATATCGCGCCATATCGCTTTCTAAATAAAAACTGACAGTTAATACCGATAATAGGAAAGCCGTTAAAGGTGATCCTGATAATAAACAAGCTTCGTTGTCGTACTGCGTGCAGAAGAAATCATAACCGTAATCTGTAATAAAATCCGTTACGCAGAATATCTGACGAGCACGCAAAATACACGTTTGTTTTTCAGTAGTTCTTCTCGAAAACGAAACTTTGGACGAACACAATTCATCCCGCCGTTATAAACTTATTTTCAGACTTGTATATTTGCTCCGTCTGTTTATAATACAGTTTTTGCACGGCAATTTGGTAACAACTTTTTCGTTGCGCGAAAAAATGTAAGAAACGAAAGTGACGCAAGACACAAGATACATTAAGATTTTCATTTTTTAATACCTATTACGTCACGTTAACGGTATTCCATTATTGTAGAAGAATGTTTACCAAGTTGGATAACCAAAGTAATGATTCTGCTTCGATCTTTTCCTGACCTTTTATTACAAAAGGGAAGATGGATTGATTAATAGATATAGAAAGAAATTTTAAGCAGAAAATTGTGAGAAACTATAGAGAATATACATATGTATACCGATCGAAGAATGTAACATCGTCTTCCAAGAGGATAGGAATCCCAAAGATATGCTAAAGGTAGGTTGGAATCACGGTCTGGATTTTGGATTCTGGACTGGCTAAAAAAATATTTGCAAGGTGGATGTAAATAATTCCCATTACACTTATGGTTATGGGAACTATGTAGTTTAGGAATAACGGGAATAGAAATGTTTAAAAATGAAAACATTAAAGAAATCGTCGCGTCGCTGTTATAGCAGATGAACAAAATATTAATTTACAACGATTGTTTGGGTATTTGGAAATCAAGTACTGCGCCAATACATATGTACTTACGTATTAGAAATGGCGTCCAACCAATCACCAACAGTGATTTAGCAGAGTGATCGGAAAATCACGATCACGCTCGTGATTAAAGTGAAAAGAACGCTCCCCGCCAATGAAAAGCAATCACGAATCACTGTGAAAAATCACCATGATTGGGAGGAATGCGCGTGATCGAAATGACGTGCGACGAGTGATTAAAAAGTATCGAGCAGTCGTCACGGCATCTCGTTTATTTACAAACAGAGTCTCTTACCTTGCCAAGAAATTGTCCTTTGTGGTAAGCGTTTCCCTGAACCGGATCAACCACGTAATCCGACTCCTGCTCCGTAGAATTATTCCAGGAAGACGTAGACGGTCCTGCCGTGATCACGCTGGTCGTCCTTATCAAAGACGAGGCGGTATTACCGAAATGACTTCCACTCGCCGACAAAGTAACGTTACTCGTGCTGGTGGTGGTGGTGGTGGTGGTGGTGGTGGTGGTGGTGGTGGTGGCGGTCGCGACATTCGCGAGGTTCGTTGTCGAGGAGATGTCCTGAACGTTGCTACCTCCTCTGGACGAAGGTTGCGCGTTAGACGCGTAAATAAGCGTGGAGGTACGCGTCGTCGTGCACGTTTCCTCGTCGTCGCGGAAAGTGACGATGTTTTCCTTGGGCGTATCGATGAGGCAGCCGGGATGCGACGAGTACGAGGAGAATTCCGCTTCCAAGGGTAACGAGGACGCACCGGGTTTTCGACTTTTTCTCCTTACCAGGCTTTGCAGGGACGCGGAACTCTTGGAAAAACTGTGACGCGGACGATTGTTGACGGGTCTGGCGCTACCAGCTGATTCGATTCTCTTTTTAGCGCAGTCGTTCTCAGGAATGGTTTTGGTGGTCTCGTTTGCTTCCTCGTTGCATCGTCCAACGACCCCCGCCGCCTCTAAGAAACGGCAAGCTATCGTTTCGGTATGCAAGTCGACCGGCATCGTCTCCAGGAGGAAACTCTTGCTCGTCGTTTCGTACTCTCGCGGCGGCGACGAACTCCCGACTTGCACCTCGACCATACTCGAAGGCAACATCTCTAATTCTAGCTTCATCGGATTTGCGCGAGGAGATCTTGCCGTGAGCAGGCAAGATGCTCGTAAGTACTTACTTCTCCTAAGAAATCAATTATTTAGCGCACCCTGAACGGTAACGCCGATTCTATCCTCGTTGCGTTGCGTTTCGTTTCTCCGTCAGCGTATACGTTATATGTATACACTACGATTCCGCGAACCGTGGTCGTTCCGCAGGATGACATGTTACGTTTGATTTCGGCATTTAACACGGACGACGCCTACTCCTTGACATCCATCACACACGTGCACTCGCGAGATATCGCTCGATAACGGCGCGTCGCGACATGAAACGCGCGCTGCGACAGAACGATCGACTGGCTGGGAATGCAACGTGATTGCGAGAAAAAGAAAATAACGCGTCCGGAAATGCGTGTGGAAGTGGGTGCGCGATGTTGCCGCAGGAACCGAAACGCACGCGCTCTCTTATCTCCGATGGACCAGCAACGCTCACACCCCAATCGCTCCACCAGTCGAATCGCCACTGTTCCGCGCGCACCGACCCAACGACCGACACCCTCGGTCTCGGTCTCGCCTATCCCCCCCCCCACCCCACCCCACACCCTTTCCCACCATTGCTGCCACCTGAGCGCTCAGTGCCGTCAATAAACCCTATTTACTTTGACATTTTCTTCCGTCAAACGAACAATATTTACGAATCTTTTCCACCCGTATCTATCTATACCGACTAAGTTAACATTCCACTTTAAACGGTTATACCAGAAATTCCTCTTTTTATAAAATCAATCGCCTAAGCGATAATCCATACGCAACCGACGACGCGCCGGATCAAACTTTAAACGCGTTTTTCTCGACATTATATTATTATTATTATTATTATTATTATGTTGCAATGACGTTAGACTGATTTTTATACATATATTGCTCTTTTTAGAACGTACGATTTTATTTTACCGATAGAAGCGTTACTGGAAACAAAGTGTTCCTTTCTACCCGTTTCTATTGGAAGGAGAATGTCGAATACAAGACAATGAATAAATCTATTTACCAACATGCATGGTATCGGAACACTGCAAAACTGAAATACATACATTTGTTACACCGTGTCTTTAATTGCATGCTGCGATGAATACAAAACGGATCAGAGAATTCTACACGGTGGTGAAACGTGAGAAACTGCATTGTTTCTAATATGTATCGTGCAAAAGGGAAATGCAGTGTTCTTTTACTTCCAAGACGAAAGCTGGTTTCGAATTTAATAAAATGAACATGTATTCTTGTAAATGTCTGATTAAATAATCTTCGATTTCTTTCACATTTCTAACACATTCCTACCGACATTTTCTCCAAGGACATGGCGTTAAACGGTTCATTTCCGTAGATATAGGGCTTAAAAAATAATGAACGTGCTGTGTATATAAAATTTCGTAAATGATTGATTGTACGGCGAGAGGGAGACGGTATGTAATGGTTGGCGTAATCGTACGGCCCTGATTCTACTATTTGCTTCGTTGTCCTCGTGTTCGATCTCCTTGCTTCCTTCTGCTCGTTCGCTTCTCTTCTACTTTCTCTTTCTCTCCTCGCTCCCATACCAGAACTCTACTGCCGTCAAAGGGGGAACACGCATCGTCCCATCATGCGTATTCGGTCATTCACACAAGATATACCTGTTCCAACATTTCAGATGCGCTAAGTGCACATCTAAATATAGGAACGGTATAACAAGAAAGAACTTGGTTTTAGAAGCTAAAGCAACAACTGTCATATGTTTCATAAACTCTCTTCGTTTCGTAATAAGCTAACGTACTTACCATCCGGATTTGGAGGTCTGTCTGTGCTCCAGTACCGACGAGAAAAGAGCGGCTGAAAAATATAGGACACACGATCAATTCTAGATAACGTAATAACTAATAATTGTTTAAATACATCGAGAAAAGATGATTAAACTTATACATATAGACGTTCCTATTTATTTATTTATTTATTTATTTATACTTGCAAGTTCATTCGAATAGAACGATTTTGAACGTTATTAAAAAGTATATTTGTCGAAATGTGAGAAATGTTTATTATGAATGAAGGAAACGCATGGTCTATTTAGAATTATTTCAAGTACTTTCAGTGTCGTGATAGCCGTAATAATATACGCTTACCTCATCGCCAACAGAAAGTGAAATATGTATGTACATCATGCATACACGCCGAACGGATACAGTATACCAAATGAATCGTTTCTGTTCATTAAAACCAGTACATACTTAAGTACATAGTTAGGTATTGTAACGAAACTGCTAACAGTAACCGACCAACAACGGATCGTTTAACCAGTAGAATCTTCTTAATATTGTCTTCTTAATAAAATGTCTGAAATTTTCCCTTATGAAAATATTTGAAAAAACCAAAATCGTAAACGGTGCCTTGATAAAAAAATTTATTTATTTATTACAATTTATTGTCGAACAACAGCGTTGTTCGAGTCATAATTTTAATGAAAAATCATTTCTTAAATGTTTACTAGTAGAAAAAGCTATTTTTTTCTATAATTTTATCTATTATGTTTATTGGTAGTTTTTATCGGCAATTTGGTTATGGAAATTGTAACATTATTATTAATTATTCTACAGGACAGTAAATAAAATAGATTTACATGTGATAAATAATTAAAAATAAATGTTTCCAGATGATCGGAGATGTTACTGTATACACACGATATCCAGAGAAATGAATATTTTCGAAACAGTGTGTATTTGAAACAACTGCTAACACGTTCAAACTTCGAAACATCGTTTCTTTCGAATAAATGGACCCTAATACTTACATACAAACTTCTAAATAATAAAAGTTTTCTTAGAAACTGATTGTTCGACTATTAAATATTCCTGTTTTTCGCATTAAAATCTGAGCAAATGTCGAGGACATTCCTAGACCTGACAAAACAAGCATTATTTGTCGGAAGAATACAAGTCATAAATGATCAAAATCTACTCAAAAACAATTTCCTATAATTTTTGACAAAATTCCAAAACTGGGAGTATCGATTTAAAAAAAAATAATGTTATCCGCTCGAGCATGGTTTACGAATTAAAAGATATCGATTATGATTTGCTCACCATACTTTTTCGATCGAAAATCTATTGTCTGGAAGAATGTATTGAAAAGATCGGTAATTCGTAAACGTAGATTAATTAAAACATGCGACGGTAAGGTAATGGTACTTACTGTTAAATGCTAGATAGGATATAATTTATAAAATATTCATGTAAATCTATTAATTATATTGATAAAAATTAAATATTAGCAGCTCTATCATTTTCGGACACACCTTAGATCGCAGCGCGATCTATCGCTTTGATGTGTAATAAGGGTATAAGTAAAAGGTTCAAAGTGATAGAAATGTGTTGATTCGTGACTCATACATGAACGATGAACGATAGTTTTCTCTGTTTGAAATTAAAAAGTCGTCGTTTCGTCAGATGACGGAAAACACTTTCGAAATCGAAAAAGTGTATGAGAAATTCGAGATCCCAAAATCGACGATACGTTTCAGATTAATTTTACTGTTTTGTTTTTATGTGTTGTAACCTATTTCTTGTACATTCAACAACGAAAGAGATAACGCTGGAATGCATTACAACTGGTTCGAAGTTCGTATGCCTTTCTTATCGCGCAATGATTTGTATTCCTTCTTGCGGCACTTCCTTATTTCTTTGTCAGTATCAACGTAATGTTCGACTCGTGCGAACGTAATTTATGTAATATCTACTACGTCGTATCGCTACGATTATTAACGATTCCATCGAGTTACCTTCTCAAGTTTAGGTAACTCTTCTATATTAGAATCGCGAAGATGCTCGAGAGAATACCTTACAACAGCACAACTACAGTTCGTGTGGCAAGTGAAATTAAGAAAAATGAATTCGTTTTTCAAGTCAGTAAATTCATTGACAAATCGAAGAAACATATTGATCAAACAATCGCTGCAAAAGCAATTAATTACCAGCGTAATGGAGGTGGAAATAGCATCGCGCGCGGAAGAAGGTGGAGCAGTTGGCAACTGCGAAGAAAGTATCACGCTCTGCTCTGTTTTGGAAGCTGTCTTCTTACACGGTTTGAAAGACAGCCTTTTAAATCGAGTAACCGAAGTTCTAAGTGATCCGGATATCGATGCCATGCCGCAACCAAGCTTTTGGGGTCCTTTACTAGTATACTCTCATCGTCAGATTATAGACCAAATACAAGCGTCCAGCCAGCTTACCACCGAAGTTGGATATTGCAGAGCTTGGATACGTTTAGCCTTAAACGATGGACTTTTAGCTAACTACCTCTGTTCCATAAGAAGAGAACATTCAGCTTTAAAGCCATATTACAATCGTTCTGCGTTTATTAGGGATTTGGATTTTGTAGAAATTACAGAAAGATTAATCGAAAGCTTGGATTACGTTAATTTTAAACTACAGTGTAATAGTAACTTCTTGAATTTTTGGTCTAGTACGCCTCTTTTACTAGCAGGAATATGGTCACTGCCGATGAAATCTTGTCCTGTATTCAGTGCAATAGACATTGCGAAAACCATAACTACCGATGTAGCGAGTAATGAAAATTTTGCTGATATCGAAACAGCTAGTTCTATCAGTAGTTTAGAGTCCTTTAATTCGTCGCAGTATGCCCTTAATAATGTGGCTTCCGTTATGGAAAATGAAGATTTAAAAATGTTATTGGCTAACAAGAAATCAAACAATATCGGTGCAGGACATTTGACCAACAATTTAAGAGATACTCCACCTTTGCAAGAAGTAGAAGAAGAAAATGTACAAGAAACGGAGGAACAAAATGTGCGGCGAGTAGAGGAATGTGATACGCAAGAAGCCGGGGAACCGACTATAGAAGGCACGGAGGAACATAATTTACAAGAAATTGAAGAAATAGACAAACAGATTTTAGATACTAGTAATCCAAACAGCGATGTAAAAACTAACGCGATACCCAATATTCAAGATTCAGGAACTGAAAATGTTGTACAGAATCGTTCAACGTCCCAGGATGCTATCGAAGCTACCGTAGGAAATTCATTAATTAGAGGATTAGGCTGGTCGACGTTGTTCGAAGATTGTGAATCTTCTTTAAGTTCATTTGTAATATCGCATGACTCTGAAACACCAGCCGAAGGACCTACGTACGATTCGATTATTCAAAGCTATCACAATACTGGAAATACGTCGAAACCAAACCTCCAAGAACTTTTAGAAAAATATCCGAAAAAACAATCATCCGACGATGGAGTTAAAGTTCAATCGGAAATCAAGGTAAAACTTAACTACATATATTTAACGACTGCTAATTAAATTCATACGACTTATTAATTTTTTATTAGCACTGTAACAGCACGTTAAAAATGTTTATTACTGTTTATGTTTAAAATTAGTAACGATCGAACATTGTTTAAACTACGCTACGCGTTGTAAGAACTCGCGTCATACAAGAGTCTACTGCAATAAATTTTCAGTAATTTTATTCAAAGAAGAAATAATTTTAGGCGGTGATAAATTTTGATGAACAATTGGGGAAACTAGCCAGAGAAAAGGGTTTGGACACCCAGGACTATTGTTGCTTTGAATGTGGTCATGCGATTGGCATGATTTTTTCAAAAGCTCATGTGTGTTCCTACTCTGGTAATTATTATTGTTCCAAATGTATGTCTCAGGACGAATTTATTATTCCATCGAGGGTAATTTATAATTGGGATCTAAAGCATTATTCTGTTTGCAATAAAGCTGCGGCATATTTACACAATTGTCCAAAATTATTAGACCTTAAGGTATTAAACCCACAAATTTATATGGCCGTAGATACTATGGCGCAATTGCAATCATTAAGAATTCAATTAAATTTATTAAGAGCTTACTTATTTACCTGCCGTGAACCTATAATCGAATCTTTGCAAAAAAAACTTACACCTAGAGACTATTTATACGAACACGTTCATCAATATTCTGTTGTCGATCTTCTTGACATACCTAACGGAATTCTTGCTCAACAACTACAGAAGGTAATACAATTCGCAAGATGTCATGTTATAAACTGTTGGCTTTGTAGTCAAAAAGGTTTTATATGCGAAATATGCAATAATCCAAACGTAATATATCCTTTTGATATGGAATCTACATATAGAGTAAGTTGATCAAGAATAGTATTATAAAGAATGAGAAAGTAGTTACTTGGTTAATCGATGGAATGGTTTCAGTGCGATGTCTGTAATGCAGTCTTTCACGACGAATGTTTAAATGCAAATAAACCATGTCCAAAATGTGAACGCAGGCGGAAACAAATGGACCTTCCGCTTTTAGACATGGGATGTACAGAATTATCAATGGATGATGCTCCGACAGGTCCAACTAATACAAATTAATAAAAGTATATCGTGACGCGTTACATATTTTTAATTCCAAACTTGCGTACAGTATTGGTGTTTTTATGAACTAATTGTTCAACTGAAATTTTTTTTTTTATTAAAATTTCTTTTCCTAAAAATTAGTAATGAATATTTAATACCCGCAAAGGAATGAACATTACACATTGAAATTGAAACGTAGCGTGCGTCGGTAGAAGAGATGCGAGTAAGTTTTTAGTACACTAATTAGTACACTTTCGGGACGAGCATGCAGAGCTGGGTAAATTTTATTCACGAATAACGAGTAAAAATTTTAGATTGATTCGTAAACGTCTACGTGTATTTTGTTCGTAAATTCATTTAAAAATTACAATTTATTAACGAATTTTTTAAACCAATATTCGGATGAGCAAACCCGTGGCCAAAATATGTACACATACATATTATATTTGATATAATGGATGGAAAAAAATAGATTTTCGAGAATAAAATTTAACCAACTGTGCAAGTACATAGTAGGCAATAATATTTAAGGTTACACTTATTTGAATACTTGTATTTTACTGAACTTTGTCATCTACACACTAGATTCTTATCTTCCTATTTTTGCATCATATTTAATTTACTTGTTTGCTATATCTTTTTCATACACTATAAATACACGTAGTTCTCACTTTTACGAATCAGTTAATTACGATTCCTTTTTCGTAAAACTTGGTAAAATTAATTCTCTCAAAGCTGAAAATTCGTAAAATGAGAATTACCGGGGTACGATTCTTCTACACGATGGTGTTTGTTGTCTTGTTTATTGCTATATTTTTAGGGAAGAATTTGTGTAATGTAATAAATTAAATCTTACGTTTCGTTTAAATTTCTCATAGACACGTTATACAGTAACGAAAATTTATTTAAATTGTTAGATGGATGGCTTTTTAAATATACGTAATATAATATATTTATATACATAATATACTTTTTATTAAAATTTTATGTACAAAATGTAGTAAAATATATTGATCGATCATTTATCAAATTATTTTATACTTATTGTATTTAATACTGTTGTTATATTTATATAATGCAAAAAGTCATCATGCTTTATAATCGACGGATTTACATCCTCTATGTATATATTCTAAACCTATTAATTTTAATGTAATAAAATGTAAATAAAAGTTCAAATTTGTATATACTGGCTTTTATTATGTTTTAGAACGTTAGTATAGGTGTGAATGAAATTTTGTAAAAACGATGCATATTATCGAACAATTCCTATTACGTTTATTTTTTATGCGATAACCAGTATACGCAAACTATATGCTCTATATCTATCTACATATATCATTGTATTACTGGAATAGATGTGATATTATACCAAGTACCTTATAGACTAGAAATAATTCATGTATCGAAAAAACTATGTAGAGTAATTAAAGTTGATAGAAATATTTCGTGTGAACGAAAGAAAATTTAGAGATTCTTAAACAATACGTGATTCTGGTCAGAGTTGGGCAAATTTTGTTCACGATTGACAAATAAACTTTTTCGATTCATTTTAATATTAGATTTAGCCTGCGGGGCTTGTGGTTCGACTGAATGTCAGGTTAAAACATTCATTCTTACGTAGATGTTTTTACGACTGAAACCCAAATGGAAGTTAGTTTACGAATTAATCGAAAAGTTTTATTCGTTGATCGCGAATAAAATTTGTCCAACTCTGGTTCTGGCTTGGCTTGGCTTGGCTTGGCTTGTCAATCTTACACATTTTAAATATATATTTACATTTTTTTAAATCACACAATTTTTATACTTTTTCATTGATTTCATTTGTACTACCATTTTGATCCTGTTAACAGATAATTGTAAATTAAAACGCTGAAAGTATAAGGTATCCTACTACATATATCTGCCAAATAAAATACATTTTAAGAAACGTCTTATATGTATAATACGTATATGTATGTACAAACACGCACGCGGGCACACGCACATAAAAAATATTAAATTTATCGACACGTAATATTTATATTAATTTGTTCGTAACTATGATGTTTTAGTGTATTTCAGGTATAAAAAATATACATTAATTCTAAAAGAATGTTACGCTAATGTTGTTAAATGGAAATTTTAAATAAAATGAAATGAATTTTTCTAGTCTAAACTGTATTGGAAGGCACATTGATTTCCTTACTTCTAATCATATTTAATACTCTTGTTCATTATGCCAAAGTTGAAGCTTCATACTTTCAAAAGATTTCTATGAAACAATATTTACATAATCTTTGCAAACTATAATTAATATTTTTCCAGGTACCTCTACCTATTCACAAAATAAGATTGATTTTATAATATACGATCACATATTGTCGGTAATCAGACACTTAAATTTCGAAAGAAGTCGAAATATTAATTGGATCGTTTACATTTGAAAACTAAACACATGATAATGAAACTTGTATTATAAAAATTTAAGGCGACACGAAAACACGAAATTTGAAATCACGATACGCGTACTTAAGTACTTAGTATCGTTAGAAAACGTGTAACGCGTACGCGATCAATGTAGATTTTGTTTAATTTTATGTAATATTATATGTTATTGTATATTTTTCCAAAATTATATGACTGTTTTATTAATGCTAATATTATGGTTACAGGTACATATTATGTGCAGAAATATAAGCTGCTAGGATTTTAAATATTATTTTCCGTTGAGAGTGAGCAGTTAGGTTATCGTTTACTAAAAAAAAAAAAAAGATATTCGTTATTTGAAAATAGTGTGTTTTTTCCATGAAACAGAATTCGATTATTCGAATCCAACTACATAATACGTTTACTTTCTCGCGATACGTGCATATTAATTTTTGTTGAAATATCATTATTTTTAAACTCGACATATGAAACTTCATTCGATAATACTTATTATTTGAGTAACTATTTTGTACTGTCATTCGCCATCAAACTTGAAATATTGCCAGCTCGTATCTTAAATATTTTTTTGCCTAATTAGTAATATTTCTTTTCAGCGGCAATATTACATCTTTGATGTATGTATTTACTACTTTATGTTTCTACTGGCAATCTCCGTTTGTTGTGTCTGCGATCAATGTAATGTTTTGGGGAAATAAGCGGATGGCAGAATTGGTTTGTCGGACAAACCTGCCCTTCTTAATCCACCTTGCAGCGTAACGGTTGTACTTTTAGCTTTTGTACTGTTCGATGGAACGGATGGATTATTATTTTCTACGACGCCTGGCATCGACGAAGGACCCGCGATATTTCCTGGTAACTTGTTTAAAGAATTAATACGTTCCATAGGTGTACTGGTACTCGAGATTTGACCACTTTTGTTAAACGTTGATATCCCCATTGTACTATCGGTGATACCAACCCCCATCGATCGCGCCGTAATGCGTGAAGTTTGATTTATATTTGGATTTTGCACGATTGGATTTCTCATTGGTAATCCAGATAATGTATTTGATTGTACCGTACTGGGCGCAGGCGTACGTGTTTCAAACTTATTACCCATTAATTTGTTTGTTCTAGGCAATGTCAATTGAATCGAAGAAGGTACAGTAATTGGCGCTGCTACTGCAGCATTTTGTAACGGAGACTGGTTATCTGCTAATCGTCGATTCAACCAACTAATTACTGCAAATACATAAACAAAAAAAATTTGATATGAAATAACAAATTTTTTTTAATTCTTGCTTAAAGAGAAAAAGTTTGAAATAAAAGTAGGAAGCCCGACTAGACCCGACTATGAGCAAAATAAAAGAAAAGTTATAGGATGTGACAGACAATGTGTTCCTATCGAATAAAATGTTGACGTATTAAAAAATTATTCTTCTATGTATAAACCACTGACAAATTCTAAAATCTCTAATAACGAATGAAAGAAATTATTTTTTACCGTTGTCGTTATTTTTTATTATTTTGTCCTTCTCTTCCAATTGATTTTGTTGGATTTTAAGCTGTTCCCTCAAATGTTCAACTTCCGTTTTCCCATCTTTTGCTTCTTTAATTAAACTTTCCATTTTACTTTCTAATTGACCAACTTCCTTTTGTTTAGTATCCAACAGCCGCTCTTGCTCGAGTGCTATGCTGGTGCGTAATTTTAATTTAGATTTCGTCGATGCGAGTTCGTTTTGTAATTTTGTCAATATTTCGTTAGCTTTGACTAGTTCGTCGCTTAAATTTCGCAAAGAATTTTGTTTACGTTGTAACTGGCCTTCTTTCTCGGTTAACAAATCTTCCAAGTGCTGTTTCTGTTCCTTTGCTGTTTTTAACATTTCCGTATGTTTGCTAGTAAGGATACCTTTATCCTTTAATTCTTGTTCAAGTACCGCGACTTTCGTTCTTAAACTATTCACAGTTTTCTCTTTTTCGTGATAATCTGTATCTAGCTTCGAATTTTGTTTTCTCACTAAATTTAAATCTCTCTGAGCTAGATTAAGCTCTTTCTCGACATTTTGCAGTTGCTTAATTTGTTCCATATTTGTTGCTTCCAGAAGAGACAACTTATCTTTGTACGTTAAATTTTGTGTACGTAACTCTGCCAGTTCTGTGTGTAATTGTTTTACAATTTCCGAATGTCTATGTTCTACTTCTATCTTGGCTTTTTCATTCTGACATTGCCATTCTAATCGAGCTTTAGCAAATCTGTAAGATTACGCATAATATTTAATAAACATTCTATAAATATTTTAAATAGAATGCAAGATAATTAAGAGTGTTTTACCACTAACCTGTCTTTTTCAACATTTATTTGCTCGGATAAAGACAATTGCATTTCATTCTTTTCTACCATATACTTATGTTCCAATTGTTCTAGCTCCTTAGTTTTTAATTCTATCTTATTCGATAAATCGTTTAATCTTGTTTCAAGAGTAGCAACATCTCTAGTCTGTTGTAGAATATTCTCTTTTAACCGTTTAATTTTCATAGCCATATGAGTTTTCAAATTAGAATCGCTAGCCGGCGAAATGTTCAGGCTTAAATGACACAAATGTTTGAAATTGTTTGTTTCTACCAATTTGAATATCCATTCTCCGCTTTCTTCTGCCAATAGCAACAAGAATTTTTGTGGCGTTTTTGATAAATTTGCCGGCGGTGTTTGACATTGTTCCAACAAAAATATTAACTGAGTCGCAAAATTATCAAAATCTACCAATAGTCCCTGTTGGGACTTTAAAACTTTAAAATCCTCTTCCGAGATAAATAACGAGTAAAGAAAACAGGGATCATCATCATCTGCTAACAAAACACACAAACTCTGTAATATAAATACACGATATGTTATTAAATTGAACAGATACTTCTGTGAAAATTTCTAGAAATTTATTCCTTCTTTTAAGTAATGAAAACATAAAAACGATAATTAAAACGAGATCATAAGAACGTTGCATAGGATTATTTGTCAACAAAGTGCATATAGGTTAATGTAATCATTGCACGTAATATTACCTTACGACAAACAGGGCTAATACCGGCATGAATTTCCACATTGACCCTAAGTTCGCGCTGACGTTCTTCTTTATGTTGCGGCTTAATATAAACTCTTTGCACTTTAGTGTACAACACTTCGACATTGTTCAATTGAAGGGCAGAATCGCCCGTCACTCCACTCCCAATTGAATTGTTCAAATAATTCATCGTTTGCCTGCGTGTACGGGGATCATTTGTTAGTCCCTGTCCATCCAGTACTTTAGATAACGGAGATAGCGTTTCAATTTTCGTCTCATTTGTCAAACTTTCGTAAACTAAAAAAAATATGCATTGAAACTTTCAAATTCTGTAACCTACATGCCCAGTTGATGCACGCGTATTTCAAGTGGTGCCATCTCAGCATCACGCATTGATATTAACGCCCCTCCCACTGAAATTCATTTTTTTTAAATCTACGCCTTTTTTATCTGCTCATGTAACTTTTCTTTTATTCGGATCACTCTTTAAACAAATTTATATTAGACAGAATGAGATGGATCGATGCGTTCTGTATTATTCATGTAGATGTTTGAAAATTTCCCAAAAAAATTGATAAAGAATTTTGAATTTCGACGATATCTTGGTACTACATAGTTACTTATCAACGCTTCTGAGCACTTCCGGTAGTGATTTCTTTGAGACACTGTACAGATTTCAAGATTTACAGATTTATTACAATTTCATAGCTATTTATGGCTCTTTTTTTTGCAACATATTTTTAGATTTAAGATTACGAGATAAATCATATTTTCATTTTTTCGTACGATACAAACGAGTTAATGAAATCTATAGAAATAATTGTAATTTTCTATTCTGTTACAACACTACGCTATTAAATTTGTAAAATACGCGATATATGAAAATATTGATAAACCGGAAGTGTTGCTTGTAAAACGTTTAATACGTAAGTAGACACATATTAATATCTTTCTGTAACTATCGCAACACACTTAATTTCATTAAAATTTATTTATTTTGACAATTTTAAGGGAAATCGTACTATTCTTTATCACATTTGTTGATAAAAGATTGTAGAAATCATTTAACAGCAGCACTTTTGATGTTTTTGGCGGGTTCCGTTTTACTTTCCCGCGTAATAAGAAAATCTTAACGCTGATTGGCCAACTGTTTTGAAATCGGCCAATGGCATTGAACATCAAGGATGTGACGTTCGTCATATTGAGTTGCAACGGCGGTCGCCATGCCATGCGACTGCTGCGGGATTGACAATTTCGTTTTTGAATATGTTGGTAGAAAAGTGTTTGACAGTTTATTGTCCTTGTTCACAGAGGAACAGTTTACAAGGTGATCATGTTATGGAAGTGAATGTACAATTATTATGAAGCGACAAGTGATGTTCTCCTGAAAATTGAAACCTTGAATCTGCACCCTTTCGGTTAGAGGTTGGATACGACAGTTACTGTTTGAATCCAACTATGCATTCTACACAAGAACACGATCAGGTAAGCTTTCGATATATATTGATCGCAGATCAAGTTATATTATCTTCGCAATTATTATCCTAATGTTCCTGAAAAATTTAATCATGCTTTATTCGATGAGAATCTCGTGTCGAGAACACGTCGACCGGTTTCGCTTGCAGCGCTCCTTTCGTTCGTTTCTGTTTTTCAATGCCCCGTCATATGCTGCCCCCTGATAGAACCATCCAAACCATTTATGCAACTTTCAGAATACAATACATTTGCATCGATAAAGAATAGGTTGTGTAATAATTTCACATTCTTTAGGAGAATATTAAATACTGCCCATGTTTTCTACAGATCCTACCAGATCAATAATTCAAATATTTCTTTACGATAAAATTCTTTGGGTTATTTATTAAAAAGTTCAGATGTATGTACTTACCTACTTACGTACATTTGTTTATTCTGTGTTTTGCAACCAGAGAATTTTTTAATGCGCGGAATAAGTAAAAATCAAGTGAGATGTCTGTCGAATAGAATGGTTAGGGTAAAACATCCCAATTAAGCTGCAATAATTTTTCTCCTGTCGTTAAATATGTATATTTCGCGATTACCATTATGACCATATCTTTTACACGGTTGCTTTTAATTTATAATTAAATCGTAAATTGTGAAATGTTTGGAAATTATAAATGGTTCGCGGGGCAGCTTTTACACCTTCTCCAAAAACGATCCTGGCTAGATATACATATTTACATACTATGTAAGTACCTATATACGTATGTATGTCTCTGAAAACTGTACATACAACATTGGGCGTATACGTTTGTAGAATTTTGAGGAAAGAGAGGTAGGGAAATAATTTAGCTTGGAAAATTACGTTAGTTCGTGTAATAATTATACCGTTCCACTAAAAAATGGACGAGGTGGTTGGGCCAAAAAATTGTTGTCCCTGCGGGGTCATTACCTCCCGTACTTGCCACCAGAGGGATCGTTCTCTCGCAAACGCTGGATCGACCTTTCGTTTCTATTCGTGCATACAAGTGTAAGTGTACGCTGCTCGCGACCGCTACCCAATATCACGGTGTCTAAGGCAGGGTCTGCTAGGATGTCTCACCGATGAGTCCCCGCCAGCAGGCCCGGGACGAAACGCTTTCCCTCTCTTTTCCTTTTCTATCTCTCTTTACAGAGCCCACGTCCCTCTTACCGCTAGTGCCACCAACGGAGAAACAATGAAACACGTCTAATTTACCTGCGATCAGATATAACTTATCTCAGGTATAATATACTATAGTTGTGTGTGTGTGTGTGTGTTGTAAAAGTAAAATATTACTTTTAATGTTAGTTTTGCAGTTTTGTACCTCCGAGTAATACGTTGTTGGCATGTTGTAATGCATTTTAACTGTGTGTCTTGTAATATTTGTTGAACAATTTATGTAGATACGGGTAATTGCGAAATTTTCCTTACTTCGCTAGCAGTTGGATTATTTCTTATTTCTTTAAAAGTATGTGATTGATCACGCCTTATCAATTTTTCCTCTTGTCACCCATATAGTGATTTTTACTATATTTATCACGTAATTGTAGAAAATGATGTACGGGAGTAGATAGATCTATTAATCTTGTTTGCTATTTCTCGAATGGAAAATCCTGTATCGTGACACACGTGTCTATTTTTATTTCTTCCTCAGAGCTCTACGTTTTTTCGCGATACATATTCTGTTATAAGATGAATTATTTGTAATATTTCTATACGAATATTAGAAAATCTATTTCACTTCCGATGCTCTCTCTTTCTCAGAGATAATGTATGTTTCTCGTATTTCGTTCGCTGTATTTTGTACAATGTCGTCGCTGAGGCACGACGTAGCTTCTTCATCTTCGAAGAATAAACGCGAGATTTACGAGTAGGAGTATAGTCGTGGAAAATCGCATTTGTTCGGAAGCGGGATCTCCGCTATTTCCACACAGAGAGTTTTCCTTTACGTTTGGTCACGGATTTTTTTCATCCTTCCGCGTTTGAAAGTCGAGTGCTGTAACCACCTGCCCTACTCGCAAAAAGGAAAAAAAAAAAAAACAACCAAGCGGACAGGTTTTACCTGACAAACCTACCTGGTTTGGCGCTGAGAAGCATACCTGCTAACACAGCTTCGGAAAATTTTCATTTCGTTCAGCCCGTAGCCTTACATGGACTATTTTAACGAGCAAATAAAAAATAGTTATTAACTGGAAAGAGGGGCGGCATATGTTGTTTCTGTTTCATAAATGGCAAACAAAACCTACGTGTTATTTATAGTGAAGCAATGTGGAACAAAGTTTGTTTTATTTTATTTCTCGGACTTGGACAATTTACAACCGGCTGCACGTCGTATACATCAATTACGTGCGTGCACACTAGCAATAACACACATATGTACATACTTTCTATATGTTGGTTCGATTCTGTTTTATCGTATAACAAACTCGAATTTGTAAATTGTTTTTCAAATTACATACATAATATGTATTCCTCTTCGTTCATTCATTATGTTGTCAAACGCGTAAACAGTTTTTAGACTTTTCAAACGTACCGTTGTTAAGTCATTATGTATTTTGGTGGTAATATTATTATTTCATTAGGTGAAAATGCATATAGTATTCTAAGCAAGTTTAGCATATGACTTCTACATATGTATATGTACGTATTCCCATACGTCAGAAATCTATTCGCTCTGCAGGCTAGTTATCAGAGATCTTTGTTTTTTAAATAAAAAATAACAATTCAAGTAGTAGGGGTTTTAACAAAAAGTGAAACGTAACAATGTGCAATGAGTCAGATATTAAAATTATACAGTAGGTGATCTTACGTAAATCAGTGTTTCTCATCGGATAACTTTCAATGATTCGATCCATAAATTGCCAGTGACGGGGGTCTAGAAGAGCTTGGAAGGGCCGGGAGGGGGATTAACAAAAGATTCGAGATGTCGAGGATTTGCAAAGGATTTGAAAGTTTTTCAAACACATAATACATATAAGTAAGTACCTTCCATCGTAAACATTTAAGGATCTTTCGATTAGTTTTTTTTACTATTTGATCGTAGGTACGACTTTTATTTACCATTCTTGCAATTTCTCTTTAGGATCTCTCCCAATTACATATAACGAAACATTACAGGTTTGTCCTTTTCTACTTTCCATTTTGCTGAAACCACTTCAAATATGCTACTTAATAATCGACAATATATTTTTCAGGTCCGAGAGTTCAGACTTTTTCTAAATGTCGTTAGAAACTTTAATTTTCATTAATTTTTACGGAAGATTATACTGTTTTTTTACCATTCAATTATGAAGTAACGTACGTATGTAGAATGTTCTTGCATAGGTTATAAACGTTGCATGTTTCCATACAATATTCTATAAAGAGAATCATGGAATATGTACAGGCATCTGGTGAATTAGTCCAACAATTCGTTTAGAAAATGTTCATCAAATTTTCATGAAATGCTCGTAAAGCGTCCATGTTGACATTCAGAGGCCCTGATAGAGTAGAAAAACTGAGAAATTGAAAATTTGTTGACATGCATTTTTAGCTTTGTTTATCATGGAATGTGTGTAGACATTTATTCGTTTGGAAAATGTTTTATATTTTCCGTTGCATGTTTGTATATGTACAATGTTCTATAAAGAGGAAGAAAAATCGTGGACGATTTTGAACGCGAGTTAGTGTACATAGGTACATAGGTGTACGGTTGAATTTCCGAGCATTTGTGTGTGTGTGTGTGTGTGTGTTATTTCGATTCGGTGAAGCATCGATTGCGATGACTACCACCACTGACTGGAGCCAGTGGTTTGTTAAAGAGATATGGTCATATCGGTGGCGCCGGTTTAAGACACTGCGCTGTCTAGAGTTGCTCCTGGGAACGAGAAGCAGCTTCCCCCGCTCTCTCTCTCTCTCTCTCTCTCTCTCTCTCTCTCTCTCTCTCTCTCTCTCTCTCTCTCTCTCTCTCTCTCTCTCTCTCTCTCTGGCACCCATAATCATAGGACAGAACGCTGTACCGTCGATATCGCCTTGTGTTCGCGTACCCGATATACATACATATAAACATAGTAGAGGGAGAACGAAACGGTGCAAGGGCCTCTAGCCGTTTACAGGACTGCTAGCGTGTAACGTAGCAGAGAACCGAGGACTCGTCGAAGGCGTATTTGGTCAGTCCCATCAGCGAGTGAATCAAGACGTGGCAACAGAGCGTCCGTATACGCTACATCACACGTATATCTTTCACGCGAGAGGCCACGGCATTGTAAAATTGCCGATTCGCTTCGAGGTCATCACGCTATCGACCTCCATTTCGTATTGGTTTTTTTTTTCTTTTTTCAACATGGATTTGTCGAAACTGGCCACCGTGGTATTGCTCCATCGATATTCTTGCCTCGGCACGCCAGCCAGCGAGCTTAACGGGGAACGTGTCTTTCCAAGTACATACACTCTTCTTTCCATCTTTTCTCTTTGCGTGAAAAGTAGGAAAAAGTAGGAAAGCCTAAGAAATAATCGAATACCCCGGAAGTTTGAAGCAATTTTAACAGATAAATTTTTTATCGCGGGATTATTAGCACCACAGTATTGAAAATTATTGGGTACACTTTGCTAGAACAATGTACCAACTGCGTGGTAGACAGTTTGAAAACATCAGTGATAGAAAACAACAGTGCGTTTAAGATGCGTGGGTGAGTCTGGAGTAAAAATGTATCAAGTAACTGTGTCCAAAGGTTTGCACAAAAAGAACGATTGCAGCTATTAAATGCAAACGGGGTTCTACAAAATTAGTTTTCCTTTCGTGGAGTTGATCGATTTGGCAAACGAGCGGCTGATTTTACAACGTTAGAATATGGAATAAACAACTGGAAGATATTATTATCGTACAAGACCCGATTCAGTCATTGTGCTCCTTGTATCTCGGCATTGGCTGATGCAGGAGGCAACACGGTAGGCGAGCTCAACCAACGTGCCTTCGTGGAAGAAGAAAATGCCGCAGGTCTGTGATTTCCGCTTGGCAACAGCG